GGAAAGATAAACAAACAAACAAAGAAGTGTTCACACGTTAGCCCAAGTCATGCTGCTCCGGACTGCAACTTCGCACTGCCAATAACTCTTCAAGCACACCCCTCCTTTCTCCTTGCCCCGGCGAGACCCTTTCTGTCTGTACCTTCAGCTGTGCAGGTCCGTAAGCATCTGCTTCCTGACAACAGCAGACACTGAGGAAGATGCTGGGGTGCATTGCTGGTGAGGACTGGTGAAGCTGCTCTGGAAGGCAGCCGGGCTCTGCTTCTCAGGTTACACGGACACTTCCAGACACTTGCTATTTACTGCAGAGCACAGGTTGGCAGATTACAACCCGTGAACCAAACCTGATTGGCCACCCGTTCTTACAAATAAAGTTTTATTGGAACACAGCTGCACTCACACTTATGTATCGTCTGTGGCCGCTTTCGCCATCCACGCAGTTACGTAGCTGTGACAGAAACCAAATGGCCCCAAAGCCCGAAATATTTGCTGTGTGGCCTTTTACCAAAAACGTTTCTTGGTCTCTACCCTACTGAAATAAAAACTGTGTTCATCTAAAAGTCCATAAACAATGTTTACAGCAGTTTGTGGGGTTTTTTTGGTAATCACCAGAAACTGGAAATGATCCAAATATCCTTTAAGGGGTGAACAGATAAACAAACTGGCCCATCCTGACAATGGAATACCACGCGGCAGTGAAAGGGACACATTTTCCATAGATGGCGTCTTGGAGGCATTACACTGAATGAAACGGGCCGTCTGAGGAGACTCCCCCTGCGAGAGTCCATTTAAATATAATGCCCAAGAAGACAGAACTGTGGTGACGGAGGGGAAAAAAATCAGGGGGTGCCAAGAAAAAAGGGCAGGGGGAGGGGCAACTGCAGAGGGATAACAGGAGAGCGATTTTGTGGTGATGGAACGGCTCCCAATGCTGCTGGTGGTGGTAGTGATGCAAATCTGTGCCCGCATTAAAATTCATGAAACTGTATGCCAGAAAAAGTCGTTTTGACTGTATGATCGTTTTAAAATAAAAGAAAAAGAAACACTGAGAAAAAGCAAGCATTTGAGGCCAGCCAGGTGGCATGATGGTTGAGGTGGCTGGATTCCAAATGACAGACTTCGTGATTCAAGTCCCGGGCCTGGTGGCTTGAAAAACACACAGGGCACATGCGCATGCATGCCCAAAATCTCATGAGAATGGAGGAAAAGGGATTGCCGTGTGGCCATCCTCTGGGAGGAAGATCTCTCTCTCTCTCTCATCAGTACACGGACCCTATAGCAAACTCAAAAATGAAGTTGATGAATTGATGGAATAACTCGTGAATAACTTGGCCCCACAGTCACCTCATAGCTGTAGGGTTGCAGAAACCATGTGCACATCCCTCCTGCCCTTCAAACCTGCCAGGAAAGAACCTCAGGGCTAATGCACTGGGGGACCGACCACCCCACGTCAGAGGAGAATGCTGAGGCTCAAGGCGGTGAAGAGGCTTGAGGTCATGTGACTAGCGGTGGCAGATTGGACCCAGCCTCTGCATCCTGGCCTTTTGCCGATTCTACTGGTGTGTGCAGCCTGAAAACACGGCCTTCATCCAACATTAATGAATAACTAACTTGTGTGTCGCCCTGTGCGGTTTACAAAGCGCTTGCCTTTACGTCGTCTCCTTTAATCTGCACGACTCTTTGGTGCGTGAATGTTATTATTATTTTACCCCTTTTCAAAGAGGGAAACCAGTGCCCAGAGGGTCGAAGCGTCTTTTCCAAGGTCATGTCCCACCATAGAGCTTCACTTGTCCCCAGCTCCAGCTTCCTTCTCTCCTCTGTCTGCTCCTTCCCTCTCTTTTCTTTCCTAAGGCAGGATCTGGAGATGCCTGGGGAGCAGGTGGGCTTTCTAGCTGTCCTCCAAGTCCACCCCCCACCCCCAGCAGCCTGAAAGCCTGGTGCTCCTGGGCAGGCCCAGGAAATGGGGCGGCTCTGTGGAGCTCAGCAGCCCCTCCCCGAGGCCCCGGGGTTGTTTTTCTTATCTAAATAAACTCTGCACAAACACGGCTGCATTACTCATGTGCAAGTTATTTGCAACAGCACAGCCCAGAGAGGGGGAATTAGTTCACACTGGAACTGTCTCCACCTGGGAAGGACAGATGGGCCTTGGAGTTTTAGACCCAGGTCAGTGACATCGCAAAGCGACTTTCCTTGCCATCTCACACCCCATGGCAAGCTCGGGAGAGACTATGGCCTCTGGTGACACTCTATGGGCCCCCCTGCAGGAAAGAGCCACCGGGGCTGGGGAGGGTCGGGAGCTCCAGTGGGCAGAGCCTCTATCCTCCCACTGGCTTTCTTGTGAAAAGACAGGGATACCCACAGAGGGAAAGCTCTGCTTTATGCCTGGGTCTCCCCGTGGGTGACATGAGTGCTGGAATCTACACCTGGCTCCTCCCACCTCAGACTTTAAATCCCCTCAACCTCTGGAGCTGTATCTCACGGGGAAGGCCTAAATGAGGGAGGGGTTAAGGGAGCCCCTATGTAAGCGAGGATGTGTACAGGAGGTGTGTAAACGATGGTGTGTACAACTGGGCTCAGTGCCTGGCCCCCGGATTGCTGTTGAGGGGACCAGCAGATGGCGTAATGGTTACGTTGCTGAACTCCCACGTAGTCACCCACTGTTCGAGTCCCAGGCACAGCGACTTAAAACTCATGCCAGGGGGACCAGCAGTTAGCGTAATGGCTATGTCGCTGGACTCCCGTGTAGACAACCGCGGTTCACATCCTGGACCCAGTGGCTAAAAGCTCACGCCAGGTGCGTGTGCGTGCGTGCCCAAGATCCCGAGAGGAGAATGGAGAAGGGATTGTGGCATGGCCATCCCCCATGGGGGGTGATTTCTCGCTTTCTGTCTCTCTGTCTCTGTCTGGCAAGCACACGCGCCCTACAGCAAAAACCTCTCAAAAAAAACCCAAAACAGACAAACAAACAAAACTCACGCCAGGTGCGTGTGCGTGTGTGCCCAAGATCCCAAGAGGAGAATGGAGGAGAAGGGACTGTGGCATGGCCATTTCCCCGGGGGGGGGGGGTGATTTTTTGTTTTCTTCTCTGTTTCTCTCTGTCCCTCCAGCAAGCACATACACCTATAGCAAAAAAAAAAAAAAACCTCTCTCTTAAAAGACTGCTGTTGGTCAGGTGTGTGGTAGGGAAGAGCTGGTGCTGAAAGCAATCCATCCTGGCCAGCTGCTGTGCACCTTCCTGCGAGCGTGCACACCTCCTCTCAGGGACACCTCGTTCCTATACCTCCGTGTAAGTGAAGGCCTGACTCACATGACATGCAAGGACCAAGGGGAACGTAGGGTTTGTGTTGAAGCCTCTAGACAACAGACCTCAGTGGGATTCCTGGAAACTGGAAAATCATCTTCGTCCCCTGATTCCTAGAGCAACGGATTCTAGTTCCAGCAAAATGTTCCCAGGATATCTCACTCTCTGCGTGTGACCCACACCAGTTCCCCAGGAACGTGGGCACCGTGCATGGCTTCTGAGCCACGGCTCTGGGACAGCATTGGCCAGGCTACATGGTCATAAGGATTCCTGGGTCCTCTTTGTCAGGCTTAGAGCATGGGGAGTGAGTCTTGGGAGACTGTGACTCTTAGCTATGAGGATCTTGTTATGGAGAACTTGTTTTTTAAAAATTTACCATAGAGTGTGTGCACAAGTGTGTGAGAGGAAGGGGTGGGGGGAGATGAGCACCTCTCATGGGGTCCAGTCATGCCCTGATCCCCTTCTTCCACTCCTCCAGCCAGTCCAATCCTGGCCACTAGCGTGCATGCCAGGCACGTGTCAGGCTGACCGGACTGGGGATTTGAACTGTGGTTGCAATGTAAATCTGACTTCTCTTGAGCAGCATAATACCACTGCACCATGGAGCTGGTCCCCCGAGACCTCGTCTGGTTCACTGTACCCCCACAGGGACTGCTGCCAGGTCACAGCTGGGTTCGACCCTGAGCTGCCCTGGAAGATTGGGCCTGTCTCATAGGAAATCAAAGAAAGCAGTTTTAAACCTGAAAAAGTGCCACCCGTCCATGTGTGAACCCAAAATAGCTTCCTTCTAGAGATTCTGTTTGCAAAGTCTTGGATGACTGCAGTAAAGCTGCACTTTTTCTGGTGGGCTGAGAGCGGGACAATATGGGAGGGAGGGGCCTTGACCTTGCCTCTGGCCTGCTTGCTCTGCCTCCTGGCCATCCAGTCTGCCAAGGGGCCTTGCACACGGCTGGTACTCATCTCTCTCTTTCTTCCTTTAGTTTTTGGCTATAGGGGTACGTGTGCTCACCAGGGACAGGGAGAGAGGAAGGGGGTGGCTGCACCACAGTCCCTTCTCCTCTAGTCTCCTCTCGGGATTTGGGGCATGCACACACTCCGGACATGTTTTCAAGCTTCCAGATCCAGGACTCAAACCATGGAGCCCACCATGTGGATTCCAGCACCTTAACCACCGTGCCACCTGCTGGTCCCTCAGCTTACTTTCTAATGAATGAGGTATGCCCACTTCTCAGGGTAGGACTAAATCCAAGCAGTTGCATGCTGGGGTGTGGGCAGAGTGTCTAGCCAGCAGAAGGAGAGCGGGAAAGAGGGGAAGAGAGACATAGGTGTGGGTTCAGCAACCTTCCAGGTTCCTGTTAGAAGGGACAGCAAAATAAAAACATGGCGTTCCCTTGCATAATTTATATATATGCTTAGAATTTCCACACCCGCCAGCCCCCTCCCCTGGCTCTGACCAACCTTTCATGGACGAGATTCCCACAGAAGGATCAGCTGCCAACCCTGAACCAGATGGCTGGAATGCTGGGCCTGGAACCCCCCGCTTCACAGTAGATGCAATTCCACCACGGGATTTTGGAATTTCCTGATGTAGCCCCAAGAAGAGGTCTGCAGTCTTACCTATAACTAGCTTAGATCTGCTGAAAAAATAACAACAATGTCCAAAATACACTTAATGAATGTGTAACACACCACAAAACCACAGAAGGTAGGGTTTGAGTTTGAGGGGGAGTGTGTAATTGTGTGTATTTTAGACATTCAAGTGAGGAAATATGGCCTCACTTGGAAAAAAGCTGAGTGGAGGAGGGAGAGCCCTATAAAATACGGGTTTCCTGCTGGCTGGGAGCTCACCTCCACTCAGCCAAGCTTCAGGATGGAGGGACCCCGTTTGTTCGTGTGCGTGAACGTTCGTTTTCGTTCATTCATTCGAGTATTTGGTGAGAGACTGCCTTGTGCCAGGCACTGTCCACGCTGCTAATTAGACTCTTGACAACAGAGCCATCAATTAGATCCATGCGTTCCTGCTCTGTCTACTTCAGTCAGCGGGAACAGGATGTGTATTTTCTGCTCCTGAATTAAATTGTGTGCTACCTCAGTGCAAGAGCCCAAGCTATCGTTGGGCCATTTTTCTATACAGTGTTCTGAACACGCCTGCCCATGATGGTTGCTCAGGCAGGGCCCACCCTGGGGCTTCCTCTCCCCCACCAGCTCTTCTGCTCGTGTCTCCTGGCCTCCTGGTCTTGAGCATTGAGCTGTTGCTAAAGCTAACAAGGACGCCGGTGTGCCCTTTCACTGTCTCCCCTCTAGGTAGGGATTCCTGAAACCAGAGGCATGTATCTAGCAATGGAATTAAAAGGCTGGAGCTAGAAGAGTCCCAAAGGGAGACAGGTTTTCACTAGAAGGACGGTAGCACCACGACAGAGCTTTACGAAGACTTCCAAGGCAGGAAGAACTCCGTCACTAACCTGCACGTCTGCCCTGGGTAAGGCAGAGGAGGGCTGAGTCATGCGCTTATTGAAGGCAAGGCTAATTCACTCCCTTCATCTTATGGATGAGGAACCAGCGTGCCAGATGGGAGCAGGCCCACTGACAGAACCGGGCCCCAGACCCCCAGGCCCTCCAGTGAGGCTCTTCTCCTGCCACCTAACCAGGACTCGAGCAGTCTGGATGCTTTGCAGGCAGAGGGCTTCTTCCCCAGGTCACAGCCATGCTCCTCACCTGTGCACGAGCTCAGCTCTGATGCAGAGCCGGGCCAGCACCGTGCACCTGTTTCTTTTGGTCCTTGGTATTACTTGGTCGTTCCCTAGTAATTACCTGAGGGAAGTGTAGTGCAACTAAAGTGGAATCCATACCAGAAACGGTAGGACTGCTGTCCAGGGTGCCCGGAGTTTAGCAGTTGGCACCTCACCCCGCGTCCTCTTGTGGGGTGCTACAGATTAGACATTCTTTTTTCCTTTTTTCTTTCTTTTCTTTTTTTTTTTTTTTAGAAGTTTTTGCTACAGGGCGTGTGCACTTGCCAGAAAGACAGAGAGACACAGAGAGACAGAAAGCGAGAGAAATTGCCCCCCAGGGGGATGGCCACGCTGTAATCTCTTCTCCATTCTCCTCTCAGGATCTTGGGCATGCACACACACGTGCCTGGCATGAGTTTAAGCCACTGGGTCCGGGACTCGAACAGCTGTCAACTACATAGGAGTTCAGCGACATAGTCATTATGCTAACTTCTGGTCCCCCCTTTTTCTTTTTTTAATAGGCATTGCCATGGGGCATATCCACTCACTGGAGAGACAGAGACAGTGAGAGGGAAAGTGAGAAATCACTCCTCAGGAGGGATGGCCATTCCACAGTCCCTTCTCCTCTATTCTCCTCCTGGGATCTTGGGCGCACACGCATGCGCACACACACACACAGACACACACACACACACACACACACACACATGCCCAGCTTGATTTTCAAGTCACCGGGTCCAGGACTTGAACCAGGTCAGTCATATGGGAGTCCAATGACATAACCAAGCCATCTCTGGCCCCCAAATTAGACATTCGGAGATCCCCTAACCAGTGACTGGATGAGCACTGGATGACAGCCTGCAAGGTAAGTGAAGAGGCTGTATTTTAATTAGGAGACTGGGCAAGTCACTCATCCTTCTGGGCCTGGGCTTCCTAATTATGAAACCATTCATCCCCCAGAGGTTTACTAAGTACCTTCCATGTGCTCAGGCATAGGTGTTGGGGACAGGAAAACAAGACAAGGGTTTTGGCCCTAAGACAAGCTTTTGGTAGAAAATCTAGTGTGGAGGCCAGCAGGTGGTGGGGCGTTGAGGCGGCTGGAGCCCCACAGGCCGACCGCTTAATTCTATGGCCAAGGAGGGAGGAGCGGGAGACGAGTGTACACACCAGCGTCTGGCTGCCCTGAGCTGGGAGCAATGAGGACCAAGGGGAGGGGATGGGTCTCACAGGGAGGAGTATCCAGAGCTTTTCCTGAAAAACGTGGGAACCCCAGAATCCCAAAACCTGCCTCCTTTTTCTCCTTGAAGAATTCTTCGCGATTTTCCTGATGATTGTAAACTGTCGCGGCACCGGTAGGGGTGTGTCACTTAGTATGCAAATATTAGGATGACGTTCAGTGGCTTCCAGAGGTCATGATGGCAGCCATCTTGGGTTCCATTGCTTCAGGCTGTTTTGTGTGTGTGTGTGTGTGTGTGTGTACGTGTGCGCGTGCACGCGTATTTGAGTGTTGAGGGGGGCCTTATCTCATTTACAGGCTTGCATCCCATTGTCTAAAGAAAAAAATACACCATTAGGCTGGGAGCCAGCAGGTGGCCTAGTGGTTAAGGCACTGGGTTCCCATATGGCTGACTGTGGTTCGACTCCTAGAACCAGTGGCTTGAAACTCATACTGGGCATGTGTGTGCACGTGTTCCCAAAATCCCAGGAGGAAAATGGAGGAGAGGGGATTGCAGCATGGCCATCCTCCCGGGGGCAATTTCTTACTTTCTCACTCACTGTCTCTGTCTCTCTCTGACAAGTACATGCACCCTATAGCAAAAACCAAAGAGGGTCTGGGGCATGGTAAGAGCACAGCTCCATGGTGGTGACAGTGGGGTCATGCTGGAACCCAGTCTTGGATGAGAAGAAGGTTTTGGACTAGTTGAAGAGGTGGGACTTCGGGACTGAAGTGTAAGTGTAGACGGCACCGTGGTGTGAAGACCAGGCGTGTTTGTGATTCGCCTGGAGAGAGGTGACCTGGGCCATAGCGAGAGATGAGGCCAGAGAGGGGCAGGCCACATCACCCTGTCCCTTCAATTCCTCTGAAGAACCACAGACCCTGTTCTCTGAATGTGTGCTGTCCAACGGGGTAACCCCTAGCTACCACCGAGGGCTTGAAATGTGGCCACCCCCATGGGTATTACGGAGAGGTAAGTGCAAAAGACGATGGGGTGCCAAGGCTTCGAGCGTGCACGCGCGCGCACACATACAGAGTACAAAATAGGGACAATTTTAGATTGATCTCATGTTGAAACGATAATACACTGATATGTTGAGATAAAGTATTTTATTAAAATGAACTTCACCTGTTTCTTTTTCCTTTTTTTAAAACATGGCCTCAAGAACATGTACAACGGCCTGTCACTCTCATTATGTCGCCCTCGGACAGCGCTGCTACAGACAATGGCAAATCACTGCCTGCAATTGTCTACGAAGCAGAGAGATGCAAATTAGACTCCTTCAGAATGTGCGCTCTGGTGCAGGCAGAGAATGGAGACAATTAGGAAGCCATTGTTGTCGTCCCTGGTGAGCACATGGGCCCTACATTAGGGCGGAGGCTGGTGTGCGGAGGTAGAGCCCGCAGGCTTTGGAACTGAGAGGATGTGGGCGGGTGAGAAGGGCGCAGCCTCGGGAGCTGGGGTGGTGACCCTGGAGTAGGGAGGACAGAGGAGGAAGGTGATGAGTTCTGTCCTGATCACTAACTGAGGTGACGCTGGGCCATCAATGGGGAGGATATATGAGATTCGAGTTCTGGAGAGGAGTTTGGACTCCTCAGATACTCAGATTTGGGAGTCAGTTTTTATGGCAAATAAGATCACTCGGAAAGAGAATGTATTGTGAAAGGGGCAAGTGCTTGCTCTAGGAAGCCCCAATACCTAATGGGAGAGTAAGGGAATAGATCTGAAAAATATATCCTTCAGGGGGCCAGCAGGTGGCGCGGTGGTTAAGGCACTATACTTCTACATGGCCAACTGCGGTTCGAATCCTGGACCTGGTGGCTTGAAAATCATGTTGAACATGTGTGTGCACGTCACAGGGAGGAGTATCCAGAGCTTTTCCTGAAAAACGTGGGAACCCCAGAATCCCAAAACCTGCCTCCTTTTTCTCCTTGAAGAATTCTTCGCGATTTTCCTGATGATTGTAAACTGTCGCGGCACCGGTAGGGGTGTGTCACTTAGTATGCAAATATTAGGATGACGTTCAGTGGCTTCCAGAGGTCATGATGGCAGCCATCTTGGGTTCCATTGCTTCAGGCTGTTTTGTGTGTGTGTGTGTGTGTGTGTGTGTGTGTGTACGTGTGCGCGTGCACGCGTATTTGAGTGTTGAGGGGGGCCTTATCTCATTTACAGGCTTGCATCCCATTGTCTAAAGAAAAAAATACACCATTAGGCTGGGAGCCAGCAGGTGGCCTAGTGGTTAAGGCACTGGGTTCCCATATGGCTGACTGTGGTTCGACTCCTAGAACCAGTGGCTTAAGACTCACGCTGGGAGGGTGCATATGCATGCCCAAAATCCTGAAAGAAGAATGGAGGAGAAGGGATTGTGGCATGGCCATCCCTCTGGGCGTGTGAATTTCTTACTTTCTCACTCACTGTCTCTGTCTCTCTCTGACAAGTGCATGCACCCTATAGCAAAAACCAAAGAGGGTCTGGGGCATGGTAAGAGCACAGCTCCATGGTGGTGACAGTGGGGTCATGCTGGAACCCAGTCTTGGATGAGAAGAAGGTTTTGGACTAGTTGAAGAGGTGGGACTTCGGGACTGAAGTGTAAGTGTAGACGGCACCGTGGTGTGAAGACCAGGCGTGTTTGTGATTCGCCTGGAGAGAGGTGACCTGGGCCATAGCGAGAGATGAGGCCAGAGAGGGGCAGGCCACATCACCCTGTCCCTTCAATTCCTCTGAAGAACCACAGACCCTGTTCTCTGAATGTGTGCTGTCCAACGGGGTAACCCCTAGCTACCACCGAGGGCTTGAAATGTGGCCACCCCCATGGGTATTACGGAGAGGTAAGTGCAAAAGACGATGGGGTGCCAAGGCTTCGAGCGTGCACGCGCGCGCACACATACAGAGTACAAAATAGGGACAATTTTAGATTGATCTCATGTTGAAACGATAATACACTGATATGTTGAGATAAAGTATTTTATTAAAATGAACTTCACCTGTTTCTTTTTCCTTTTTTTAAAACATGGCCTCAAGAACATGTACAACGGCCTGTCACTCTCATTATGTCGCCCTCGGACAGCGCTGCTACAGACAATGGCAAATCACTGCCTGCAATTGTCTACGAAGCAGAGAGATGCAAATTAGACTCCTTCAGAATGTGCGCTCTGGTGCAGGCAGAGAATGGAGACAATTAGGAAGCCATTGTTGTCGTCCCTGGTGAGCACATGGGCCCTACATTAGGGCGGAGGCTGGTGTGCGGAGGTAGAGCCCGCAGGCTTTGGAACTGAGAGGATGTGGGCGGGTGAGAAGGGCGCAGCCTCGGGAGCTGGGGTGGTGACCCTGGAGTAGGGAGGACAGAGGAGGAAGGTGATGAGTTCTGTCCTGATCACTAACTGAGGTGACGCTGGGCCATCAATGGGGAGGATATATGAGATTCGAGTTCTGGAGAGGAGTTTGGACTCCTCAGATACTCAGATTTGGGAGTCAGTTTTTATGGCAAATAAGATCACTCGGAAAGAGAATGTATTGTGAAAGGGGCAAGTGCTTGCTCTAGGAAGCCCCAATACCTAATGGGAGAGTAAGGGAATAGATCTGAAAAATATATCCTTCAGGGGGCCAGCAGGTGGCGCGGTGGTTAAGGCACTATACTTCTACATGGCCAACTGCGGTTCGAATCCTGGACCTGGTGGCTTGAAAATCATGTTGAACATGTGTGTGCACGTGCACGCATGCGTGTGTGTGGCCAAAATCCCAGGAGGAGAATGAAGGAGAAGGGATTGCAATGGGACCATCCCTCCTGGGAGGTGATTTCTCACTTTCTCACTCACTGTCTCTGTCTGTCTCTCTGACAAGCACATGCCCTGTGGAAAAAACCTTCGTGTGTGTGTGTGAGTGTGTGTCCTTCTACTTGCTGCCAATGCAATTTCTCACCTTAAGGCAGCTTTCTGCTCCATGCTGAGAGGTCTTTGAGACTTTCATTTGCTGGTTTCAGAGAATAACAAAAAGTCATAGTTAAAGCCGAGGCTCTGGTTCCTTGAATAGAGTTATCGATGAGAGACAGCAAGGAAAGACTCTGTCCCCGGTGTAATCTCTCTATAAAGCTGGCATGGCAAGGAAAAGCTGGTACGATAGCTTTTCAGGGAGCCATTTGGTAATGGCATCGAAAGTAGCAATCTTCTTTCTAGGGATTTATTCTAAAAAAGGAGACAGGATGTGGGAACCAGCAGTTAGTGTAATGGCTATGTCGTTGGACTCCCACGTAGCTGAACACAGTTCGTGTCCTGGACCCAGTGGCTTAAAACTCACGCCGGGCGTGTGTGCGTGTGTGCCCAAGATCCCGAGAGGAGAATGGAGGAGAAGGGATTGCAGCGTGGCCATCCCCCCGGAGGGTGATTTCTCGTTTTCTGTCTCTCTCTGTTTGTCTGGTGAGTGCACACGCCCTATAGCAAAAACCTCTCCAAAAAAAAAAAAAAAAAAAAGGTCAGGATGCACAAACATGATTAAAGCAGCACTTTTCTTTCGTTCTTTTTTTTTAAAAAAAGCTTTCACCATACAATATATGTGCCTTCCAGAAAGACAAAAAGAGATAGAGGAAGGGGAAGGGAGAAATCAGCCTCTGGGGGGATGCCAGCCACAATCCTTCTCCTCCACCCTCCTCTCAGGATTTTAGTCATGCATGTACACATGCCCAGCGCGATTTTCAAACCACTAGGTCTGGGACTCGAATTATGGTTAGCCATGTGAGAAACCAGTGCCTTAACCACCATGCTGCCTGCTGGCCCTCAAGCAGTATTTCTTATAATACCAAATAAAATTAGGAGCAACCTAAATGTCCACTGGTGGAAAACTAGTCAATAAACGATGGTAGATCCCTGTGATGGAATGCTACATGGTCATTCCAAACAACATGGTAAAGGTATGTTTAGCAACACGAAGAATGTGCTGGATTAAAAACCAGATGACTGGGAACAGTAGACGGCATAATGGTCACGTCACTGGACTCCCATGTGTTGACAGTTCGAGTCCTGGACCTGGCAGTTTAAAACTCACACCGGGTATGTGTGCGTGCATGCCCAAAACCCCAAGAGGAGAATGGAGGAGAAGGGTTTATGGCATGGCCATCTGCCCGAGGGGGTAGTTTCTTGCTTTCTGTCTCTCTGTCTCTCCAGTGAGCTCATGTGCCCTATAGCAAAAATCTCTCTTGAGAAAAAAAAAAAA